GAAACTGAACCAGAGAATCTCTGGGGGCTCCAGGAACAATGGAGGATGGTGTAAAATTCTGTACTGAAAACAGTGCAAATCCACATACTGCACAGTGGGAGAATTTCCGTGCTTCACCCACCGCACTCTCAGACTACTCGAAGTCAGGCCATTATACCCATCCTCATCCCTCACCCCTCACTCCCCCATCACCCCCTATTCTCTCTGCCCTCACAGGGAGTTTAAGAGTTCTCCCTAGAGAAACTAAATGGTTCCAGAAAGACGACCTCCACATAGGTGCTGACATTCGCAGGCCCTCCAGTAGAAAGCTGCCTCCTGATCAATCTCCCTTTAGCAAAGATGCCCACTCAGTGAGCCCTGCGCATGCGCACAGAGCCTCCAGTCACTCTCTAAAGCCTCTTTCTTATACTTGCACAGATAGCCAATCAAGAATCACCTGACATTCGAGTAAAGACTCTAAGATCTCTTCAGCTCAGATCTGTTTGCTGGACCCTTGTCTTCTTGACCTTGTAAGGCCGGAGGACTCCAGGTTCAGTTGCTGGTCCTCTTCTTTATCTACACCCACTCCCGTAAAGATTTCCTCCGGTCTCACGGCTTTAAATCATCTTCATGTGCCAATGACTCCTGAATTTGTATTCCCAGCTCAGACCTCTTTGCTAAAGTGCAGATTTGTATATCCAACTGTCTATCTCTACTTGGATGTGTAAACAACAATGTATTAGCCAGTTTGTGTTGCAGTAACAAATGATCCAAGTAGCTTAGTAGATCATACTGCTTACGCCTTAGCTGAGGCATGAGCCACATCTGAGACATAACATGACAGAAGGGAACTTCCTGGTCTTCTCCTCAAACCTGCTCCTCCTGCAGCCTCTCTGTCTCAGTTAATCACAATGCCATCCTTTGGGATGCTCAGGCCAAAACTCTAAGTGTCACTCGTGACTCTTCAAACTCCATATTTATTATGTCAGGAGATTCTATTGGCTCTATCCTCAAAATGCATCCAGAATCTGATGATTTCTCATCATCTCTACTGCTATCTCCCTGGTTCACGTCACCATCATCTCTCACCTGTATTTTTTCAGTAGACTCCTAACTGAATTTTCTGCTTTTCCCGATGCCTCCATATAGACTACTCTCAGCAAAGCAGACAAAGTGATCCTTTTAAAACATAAGATCATGTAATTTCTCTGCTTAAAACCCTATAATGATTTTTCATTTCACTCAGAGAAAATGCCAAAGTCCTTACAAAGGCTTTCAAGGCGCTATGTGATCCATCCATTACCTTTCTGACCACCTCCTACCGCATTCTGTCAGCTCTCTCTCTCAGCCGCACTGACTTCCTTGCCAACCCACCAGGCACATTCCCATTTAGGGTCTTTGCATTGGCTGTTCCCTGTGCCTCAAGAGTGTTTTCTCTACATGTTCACATGGCTAACTCCTTCACCTGCTTCAAGCCTTTGCTCAAGTGCCACCTTCTCAGCGGGGCCCACACTGACCACCCTATTTTAAAATTGCAACCCACGCTGTTAACAGCCCACCCCCATACCCCCATGCAATGCTCTCCTCTTTCTTTTATATCTTAACACTTGCTAGTTTCTTACATAATGTGTTATTTTGTTATAATATTATCTGCTTATTGTTCATTTTCTGTTTTCCTTGGCTAGAAGGTAAACTTCAAGAGGGCAAGGATCTTCATCTGATTTGTTCACTGCTATATCCCAAGCTACTAGAACAGTGCCTGGTATATAGAAGTGCTCAATAAATATTTAATGGGTGAATAAAAAGTAAAAATGAAAGACAAAATCCAAGATAGACAATAAAAAGGAACTTGGAAGAAACAAAAATGATACACGAATTTTTTTTAAACCAAAATATTATCATTATAATCCTCAGACATAAGAGAATAAATTGCATCCATGAAACTAAAAAAAGATGATTTAACAGCAGCAGCAACAACTACTATAGAACAATCAGAGAATAGCAATTAATCTTAAGAATTAAAATTGATATCTGAAATTTTTTAAAAAAATCACTAAGATGTTAGAATTTCAAGAAATTTCCCAGAAAGAAAAAAAGTCCAAGAAGGTAAAAAACTGAAGATAAAAGAAAACTAGGTGAGCAGTCCAGGAGGTCAACATACAACATACAACTAATATATGTTTTAAGGATGAAAGAACAGTGGCTGGCCCAGTGGCCTAGTGGTTAAGTTCGTGTGTTCTGCATCAGTGGCCCAGGTTTTGTGCATTCAGATCCTGGGTGTGGACTTATGGCTCATCAAGCCATGCTGTGGCAGCATCCCACATACAACATACAAGAAGATTGGCACGGATGTTAGCTTAGTGACAATCTTCCTCAAGCAAAAAAAAGAAGAAGATTGGTAACAGATGTTAGCTCAGGGCCAATCTTCCTCACCAAAAACAAAAAAAAAGAAAAAAAGAAAAAAAAGAAGAATGAAAGAACAGAGAAAACAAAGTAGAGAAAATTTGGGGAAAAATAATAATATCAAAAAAAATTCTAGAACAGAAGGACATGAGTTTTTAGGCTGTGAAAAAGCCTCATCTAGAGTTCAGCATAGTGAAGCCAAATTTCACTGAGCAAGCACAACACTATAACATCTCAAGGCACCCCAAACTTCCCAGTTTCCAAACTGATCCAAAGGATCAGGAATGAGAACAGCACAGAACATCTCAACAATATCAGTGGAAACTAAAAAATAATGGAGTAATATTTTCAAAATTCTGAGGGTAAGGATTTTTACCTTAGAAATATATGTCTAGCCAAGCCATCAATCAACTGTGAGGCAGAATAAAGGCATTTTCAGAAATGTAAAGTCTCGACATTTGACCTACCATTTACCTTCTCTCAGGAAGCTTCCATAGGCTGTACTCCACCAAAATGAGAGAGAAAACAAATAAACAGGAAAATATGAGATCCAGGAAACAGGTGACTCAAATCAGTAGAGGATAAGGGAAATTCCTAGGATGATGACAGGAAGTCTCAGGATGACAGCTGTGTGGCAGGCCTAAAGATCAACCTCCAGAATGGAGCAGAAAAATGGAAGCCTCAAGCAGATGGCTCCAAGAAAAAAAACCCAAATATATGACTAGATTACTTAATGTATTTGAGTGTACTAAGAGTAGATTTTCAGTTCTGTTGAAGAATCAGGGATGAAACTAAGCAAAGAAAAAACAAAGAGGTGATTATTAACCCCAGGTAAAGCAAAAGGTTGCGTAAGAAGGAAATGTAATCATAATACACTATTTGATTCAGCTTTGAACGTTATTTACCTAATCACAATAATATAAACATTGGCTATTGATTTAACTCGACAAAGTGATGAAACTTTACTGGAAGGATGAGATAAAGAAAAGAAGAAGAGGAGGAGCATGAGATTCCTTCTTCCGTAAAAGGAAGTCAATTGGTAATGTCTAAAATTTGTGAATCAAAGCAGTGAAAGCACAGTATGGACGTAAATACCAAAAGGAGTGATCGAAAGAGGTGCCAATGGTTGTCTCTGGGAATGGATTGAGGACAGAGAGTTATTTGTTTATATAAGGCTTGTCATCTCACTTTATCTTCAGACCACATAGATGTAGTACTCTTAGAAAGATGAATATTAATTTTGGACTATAGGACATACTGGCACCAAACAAATACTTTCCACTTGACATACCCATAAAGATTCAAAGACAATTGAAATGGGAATGACTTTCTTATCACGTGGTTCAATGTTATTTAAAATCATATCTAGGGCATAAAGTTTCAATCAACTAAAATGAATAAGCTCAGAAGATCTGTTGTATGGCATTGGACCTACAGTCAACAATAATGTATTATACACTTAAGAATTTAAGTAGGTAGATCTCATATTGCATGTTCTTACCACAATAATTTTTTTTAAAAAAATCGTGTCTATACACCTCTTAAAATTATCTCTTGTACTACCAGTGGTATTCATCCCATACTTCAAAGCCTAAGGAATAGTCTGTACAATCCTGCTTGGAGCAAACAGGTAAACAAGAGACCAATGTTGCCAATTCAAGGACTACGACTTGCCCAAATTGATTCAAAACATAATAAAAAGACTGAATAGTCCCATAATCATTAGAAAAATCAAATCTCATGTTTTAAATTTTTTTCCACAAGGAAAACATCAGGTTTAGATCATTTTACAGGCAAATTCTAATAACTTTGAAGGAACACACTCTTCCAATCTTATTAAAATTCTCTGAGAAAATAATTCTCTAATTTATTCTGAGAGACTAGTGTAATCTGGATATCAAAATGAGACAAGAGCCATATAAGAAAGGAAAATTATAGGCCAACCTCAATCATGAACATAGATGAAAAGTCCCAAAGTGTTAATAAAAGAAGCGAGCGATGTATAAATGGTGATATGCGCAAGGTTTTAAAAGCACTTCGTGTGGGGAATGAAATATAAAGGAGCCCTAGGGTCTTGCAGCAGGCAAATTCATGGTGTTGATGGTGGGACATTCTCAGTGGATCTGAAAAGGCAAGGTGCACAAGATGATCAAAATCGCTACCAATACATGTGAAATGGAAAGCTTTCTCTTTCTTATAGGTTTCTAACTTTAGGAAATGGTTCATGGGCAGAGAACAATACTGACCCACCTCCGTTCTGAAGTGGAGAGGAAGAAAGAGAAGATAGAAAACAGATAGTGTAACTAATCCAACTTAAGCCTATCAAATTCTCAGGGTGCTTGAAGGGGCTCTTTAACCACATTGCCATTCTTAGCCATACAGCAGTCCTTCCTAAGATCCCAGCCTTTTCCGTAAATGCACTCTCTGAGTTTGTAATACAGGTGGGTAGAGACTCCGTGCACTGGACGCTTCAAGCTTCAAGGATCACAAGAAGGGTCTTAGCTGTGAAGAGTGCTTTGTTATAATGGGCTATCTTCTCTGCACATCTTCCCCCTAGTCAGGAATTGTGTGCGTGTGGCAGGCCCGGATCTCTGAAGGGCAGGAGAAGCATTACTTACTGTGCACGAAATATTCTGTCAAATTCTGGTGACCCAGAGACTGCCGGGGGCATAATTTTGTATTTTAATCTTGCCCTTCCTACTTGAAAAGCAAAATAACCTGCAAGTAAAAAAGAATGAATGTTAAAAATGTGCACCATCATTATCCATTCAGAAAATGCAAATTTAAACCACAGATACAACTATATACCCACTAAAATGTCTAAAATGAAAAATACAGATCATACCAATTAAAGAAGACAGACAGGTGAGGATATAAAATCAACTGGAATTCTCAAACAGAGTTGGTGGGAATGTAAAATGGTACAATCACTTTGGGAAAACATTCGGAAGGGATTTTTTAGTTAGACATGCATCGACCACACGACACAGCCATTCTACTCCTGGGTTTTTCCCCAAGAGAAATGAAATCGTAGGTCCAGGCAAAGACTTGTACACAAATGCCCACAGCAGCTTCATTTTTAATGGCCAAAAATTAGGAACAACTCTGTGATGGTTAATTTTGTGTGTCAACTAGGCCAGGCCATGTGCCCAGTTCTTTGGTCAAACACCAGTCTAGATGTTTCCGTGAAGGTATTTTTTTAGATGTGATTAACATTTACATCAGTAGACTTTGAGTAAAGCAGGTTGCCCTCCTTAAGGTGGGGGGGGGGGGGGGGGGCTTCATCCAATCAATTGAAGGCCTGAAGAGAAAAGACTGAGGTCCCCCAAAGAGGAAGGAATTTTGCCTCCAGACTGCCTTTGGACTCAAGACTGCAACAACAACTCTTGGAATTTCCAGGCTTCTAGCTCACCCTTCAAATTTCAGATTTGCCAGCCCCCACTATTGTGTGAGCCAATTTCTTAAAATAAATATCTGTGTGTGTGTGTGTGTGTGTGTGTGTATGTATTCCATTGGCCCTGTGTCTCTGGAGAACCCTAACACAAAGGTCCATCAACAAGTTGTAGATCAACAAATTGTGGTATATCCATACAATAGAATACTACTCAACAGTAAAAAGGAATGAACCAGTGATACACAAAACAACATGGATGAATCTCAAAATAATTATGCTGAATAAAAGAGGCGAGACCAAAAAAAGTACTACTGAATAATTTCATTTTTTCAAAATTTTCAGAAATGCAAATGAATCCATAGTGACATAAAGCAGATCAGAGGTTCCCTACCGGTGAGCCGGGCCAGTGGGGAGGGTCACAAGAAAACTTTTGAGGATGATGGCTCCCTGCCTGACTCAGTTTCCCTATGACAAGATGGTTATGACTTTCTCCTCCTCCGTTTGCTGGATGGCGGGTGTAGGATCACCAGCATCTGGAGATTTGTTCTGTGAATCTCTCACTTTCAGACTCACACTTCCTCCTCTGTGAGCCGTTCTCACCTCCTGTTTTTATCTCCCTCTTTTTACCCCGTAATTAACTTCTGGGATCTATAATTTCCCTTCAGATTATTTTTTCCAGTTTCAGTTCCTTACCAGTTCTCTCCAACACTATTCTAGTCTCACTTATTTTAGTCCCTCAACATCCATTTCCTACTTGCTAACATTTTAAAAATAGTTTCCTTTTCCACACCAAGTTTGTAGCTTCAATCTCTCGTTGTGTCATGGTACTGGGGTGATGTGTTTCCTCCTGAAACACGATACTATCTCCCCTCCGACAAGAAGTCAGTAGATATTGAGCCTGGTTGAGGAAGGGTCTCCCAGCGGGCTGCTTCCCTGATCCTAATTCCCCTCTGCTACAAATAAACGGTTGTTTCAGATTTAAAAGCTGGAGCTGAACATCTGAAGTGTGTAAACGCTTAGCGCTGGAGTCTTCCTCATGCAAACGGCAGTCACGTCACTGAAGCCTGAGAGAGTAGGGTAAAGCTAAGAAAAGTGTGGGATTAGCCATTACTGTTCCCATCCCTGGGTTAAATGCTTGCAAGGCAGCATAAATCTGGAGAGACCAGTGGCTCATAGGCCCAGCAGGAGCCAAAACGGAGGTCTATCCACAGAGGGAAAAAATGGGACTCTGCTATTCTCGACCCTGCTGAAATCATTGCTTCTAACTCCGCCACAGCCTTGGAGAAAACACTAGCTGTCTAAAGACGGCAGGAATGAAAGATGTGTGCCCCTAGATTTATTCACTGGTGTGAAAATTGACTTTAGTGGAGCCGTTTTAAAATGGCTTTCCAGAGAAGCTGCCTTGCTGTCTTGAACCTTGGGCTGAGTCAACCCTTGGACTGGGCCAAAATAGCAATTGTTTTACAAGCCCTTGTTTGAGAAGTCAGCAGAACGAACATCCTGATCGCAAAGACTGAGGATTGCCAGCTTTCTGAAGATAGAATCAACAGTCAATCAATGTTTAGCCAAGACTGGCTTCTGCCTCCAACTCCAATTAAAATTCTTTGTAATGTAATTTCCCTTCTTTGCCTTTAAAGCCCCTGACTTTTACTCCCTAGCAGGACAGTTTGGGTTTCCACCTGAATCTGTGCTCCCCGAACTGCAAGTTTTTGATCCCAAATAAATGCTTTGCCTCTTAAACTGGTTTCTGTTTTTGTAGGTTGAGGTTAGCAATGAACCTGGAGCTTCAAAATGAAGCTGAATAAGGGAAAGCTTTGAAGTGCTGTCCTTCTCTAGGCTGGCACGGCACCTGGGTGGCACGTGTCTGCAGGAGCAGCAAGTGGGAGGCCCGAGCTTCAGGAAATGGAGAGGCTTCTGAATACTCCCCACCCAGCCCACCCCCAGCCCCAGGAAGGGTTCAGTTGGGCTAGTACAGCCCTAAGGGTAGAAGCCCCTTTCTGTTCTCTCGGATCACAGCCTTAGAGAGACCATGGCTACCCTTGGGACAGCATGATGAGGGTGGAAAGGTTATTTCAACACTTTTTCTGGAGATCTTCAATTTTATTTCCCTTCTTACCAGTTGATTAAAAACTACTTGAGAATAATCTCCTTTGGTTTTGCCTGTCTTTTCTCTTCCCTGGCTTTCTCCAGAGGGACACGTGTGCTGGGGAGAGTGAATGGACACTCCCCTCACTGCCCCCCACCCCCCCAGCCACAGCTGGGCTTCTTCACCTTGTGGCTACCTCTCCATCCAGCAGAAGCTTCTCTCTGTGGGGAGGCAGCTGAGGATGGGGACTGACAACCTTGGGCCAGGCACCCTGGCGGGCACTTCTTACTCAAAGTCCTGTTTATCCCTCTTCCACGAGGACACTGAAGGACAGAATATCCTGGCCAGGGGCACCCAATTGGTAAGTGTCTGGACCAGACAGTTAGGAGTGTGTCTATCTTCAAAACCTGAGCTGCTTCTACCATGGGGCATGATGTCCTATCTCCATAAGCACCAGACTTTTGCAAAAGCAGCAGATTCTGGTTCTTAATGCCAACTAAACAGCTGTGTCTTCTCTTTCTCTCTCCCACCCCGTCATTAAACATTCTCTGTCCACCACAAACCACCCCGGCAAGTCTCCTCTCCCGCCTTCCCACTCCCACCCACTGCCTCACCCAGCCGCTCGCCCTTCTGCCGGAGTTCACACTGTTCCCTGGACCCACCAGCAAACAGAAGCCTCTCTGTGAGGATAACAGAGGCTCTGTCAGCCTGGGGCATCTGTGGACCCGCTTCTGTGCTCTCTGCAGTGCCGGCATGAGGGCATGCGCAGGGTCAGCAGTGCCTATGAGTAAGTCTATGTGAACTAGGGGTTGTCATGGAGCCCTTCAGACCTAAGTGCTTCTTAAATTGGGAATAAACATCCTGTTCTACTCCAGAAAAGATTGTGAATCAAACTACAAAATGTGTATCTTCTTTTTAACTTTTTTTTTTTTTTGGTGAGGAAGATTGCCCTGAGCTAACATCTGTACCAATATTCCTCTATTTTGTATGTAGGACACTGCCGCAGCATAGCTTGATGAGTGGTGTAGGTCCACGCCTGGATCTGAACCACCCACTGGGCTGCCAAAGTGGAGTGCACCAGACTTCACCACCACACCACAACACTGGCCCCAAACGTGTATCTTAAGGTATAATATTTTCATACACTCACAAAACAGCCTGGCTAGGCAAGATATCGAGCATGTGTGCAGGCTGGCCTTTATCGTCGGCTGTGGCACCTTCGTGCTTCGGGCTGGCTGGGCACCCGGCAGTCAGAGCCCTGCCTTGCCTCCTGTACAAGCACTTCAACAAATAAAGAAATACACATCCCTGGTAAGAAGTCTTGCTCGCCAGCGCTCATACCCTTCTCCCCATTTAGCATGTGAAGTCAGCATTGTAAGAAAATATGAATTGAGCAAACGGGAGCCTCGTGGAGAAAGAGGCCTCTGCTTCACCAGGCAGTTGCGATACTGTATAATCCCGGTGGGGAGGCACTTTAAAATTTGGAATGAATTACTTCATCAGAAGCTCATATTTCTCAGGGAGATTTTTTTAAACCTGATAATCATAACTGCCATAGGCAGTTTATTTAAGAAAACACATTAATTAAAAGATCAGGGTTCAAGTAATCCCAGCCACGATTTATAAGCAGGAACTACGCTACCTGTGAAACTCTCGTAATTAAAATATATATAGCTCACTCCCCCAGGTTAGCCTGCTTCTAATGCCTATTTGCACCGGGCTGGCGGTTATAACCACGGACGAGGCAGAATCTCCGGGCTCGGAGGGCCCACCACGTCTCTGTTGGGAGAACTAATCCCTGGGTTGTTCCAAATCTCTGCCTCTCCCCAGAGAAGGAGGCACTGATGGCCCTGAACAGACTGTGTGCTCCGTGGAGCACACAGGGCCACCAGCAAGTGAGAAACTCAACGCCAGACTCCCTCCCTCTGCCACACACACACACACACACACACACACACACACACACACGCTGCCCGGGACTCTTACTTTGCTGACAGGCAGAGAGGAGAGAGACAGCAGCCAGCAAGATTGAATTCCCAGCCATCTTTCACACGGAACGTTCTGGTTCACGGAACTATTTGTAGAAATCGAGGGGAAGATAACAGAGGCACTTTCAACTTTGCGATGCTGACCCTCCTTATAAGGTAAACAAAGCTAGGGGAGGAGAAAATAAAGGAGGATTTGAGAGGCTGGGTGACCTTTGCTCTGGAACTGGAATCAGGAAAGCAGGCGGGTCTGGGCGGCCAATCACAGATCTTTATCTGGCCTGGGAGCTGCTTCCTGAACTTTCTGTAAGTCTGTTTCTTCGCCAGCCCAGGGCTCTGGCTCAGCTGTGGGCTTAGCCCTCCAGTAGCAGCACCTGCAGTTAAACCAGCTTTTCAGCCACTTTGAAACCCATCTCCCCTCCTTCTCTTCCAACCTCTGGACTCCTGTATTCCCCTCCCTGGCTCCAAATGCTAATTTAAACTGATTCTAACTTAACTCCCAGTAAATGGCAGACCCAGGATTTGAACCCAAGTCCAGCAGATTCCAATTGTGCCTTATCCTCTGTACCCCACTGTCACCTTGACTCTCCCATGATTATAGAGACCATCAATTTTTTTAAATTGAGACAGAATTGATATATAACATTGTATTAGTTTCAAGTGTACAACATAATGATTTGATATATGTACATATTGCAAAATGATCACCACAATAAGTTTAGTTAACATCTATCACCACACAGTTGCAAATTTTTTTCTTGTGTTGAGAACATTTAAGATCTACTCTCTTAGCAACTTTCAAATGTACAATATATTGTTGGTAAATTATTGGTATGGTCACCATGCTGTACATTAAGTCCTCAGGACTTATTTATCTCATAAGTGGAAATTTGTAGCACAGATTTTTAAAAGATAAACTAGGATCTATGTCTTGAGAAGGAAGAGGGCTCTCGAGAAAAGAAGTGGCCCAATATTTCCAGTTGGCACCTATAGGACACATGGTGGTAGCCCACATGGTCTCCATGCCAGTCTAGGGTCTCCCCCTTGTCAGAGCAATGTCCCCCCGACCCAGGGACAGCTGGTCCCTCCACAGCCGGGGCCTTCTTCTGCACACCCCATTCATAAGGGCCCCTGCCCTCTGTCAGCACAATCATTTTGCTCTTTAAAGATGCAGCTTCCTACAAAACAAAGTTGGGGTCCCTTCGTCAGCCCACCCCAGCTCCTTCCACGGGCCTGCACCTGGGCTCCCAGCCTGGACACTTCCTGATGACACAACCTTGGGCAGGATTCCGAGCCCCAGTTTAATAAAATGCACTAATAAGGGCTGAAGGGAAGTTTAAATGAAATAGGGCTGTAATGAGGATTGAATTAGTTGACATTTATAAAGCACTTAGCACACGGCGCCGGAAAAAGCGTTCTGTGCATTTGTCAAATAAACACCAAGTATCTCAAAAGTCCTTAGCGTATACTGTACTTAATGTTAAAAGATATTTTTTATAAGGTAAAAATCATGCCGCTTGTACAAATATAAAATGAAAACACATCAAAGATTTTATTGAATTCATTAATGAGGGAACTAATACGATATTTTAAACAGTTCAAAGGAGAATCTAACACATATATAGTGTTAAGAAAACAACATTCAATCAAGTAAATTTTAAAGATCTTATTAGCTTTATTCAGCAATTCATAAATCACGTGGCATCCAATCTAACAGAGAGAAAGGAGTTCACCAGGGCTGGCCCGGTAGTGTAGTGGTTAAGTTCGCACGCTCTGCTTTGGCAGCCCGGGGTTGGCTGGTTCGGATCTTGGGTGTGGACCTACACACCACTCATCAAGCCTTGCTGTGGCGGCATCCCACATAGAAGAACTAGAAGGACTTACAACTAGGATATACAACTATGTACTGAGGCTTTGGAGAAGAGAAAAGAAAAGAGGAAGATTGGCAACAGATGTTAACTCAGGGCCAATCTTCCTCACCTAAAATCTTAAAAAAAAAAAAAAAGAAAAAGGAAAAAAGGCCATGTTCAGCCTGCAGACTGCCAGGGTGCAGCTTCTGCTTTAAAAAAAAAAAAAAAAAGACAGAAAAGAAAGGTGCTCTGATGAGCTGTACAAAATGAAAGACTTTTACAAGCAGAAAAGAGCAGGAGCAAGGAAATTATATTTGGTAAAAAACAAATTGGTCATTGCAAGAGTACTTTCTTTAAGGGGATGGCAGGGGGTTATCAGGTGGATTACCTCACTAGTACTGATCAGCTGATTCCTGATTGACTGGTTTAAGATTCCATTTCTGGGAGAGCTGAAACTATAATTAAGTCTCTGTTTGCTGATGTGGTGCTGAGCACAAGCAACTCCATTTTGGGCCTGTTGTCTTGTTTTTAATGATAGGGAATATGGAATGCTGAAATTAATTTACGAGTAGTTGCAAACCAGGTGTGCTCACAGCACCCTGCTGGTCTCTTCAGGATCCCTCTGCTCTCATTTTTTCTTGAAATCATTGAAGACTAAGATTATGTAAGAAGACAGATGCTAGAAGTCCAGGACAGCACCCAAACTGTCTTCTGTATTTGATTTCATGGTTTTGGCCTTCAGGATATGGCAGGGACTCTAAGCTCAAGCCAGCTGCCCTGAACCCACATCACCATCTACTAAAATAACCTCCCCAAATGACAGGCCTCGACCGAGAGGCTTGGGCTGGGCCTGTGGGCAGGCAGAGGCTCTCCGCGTAAGAAAACTGCTCCGAGAAAGAGAAATAGCAGAGGGGAGAGCTGAATGGGGAAATGGGGCCCTTGGCTGATGGCCACAACCTTTGGGTGTTTATAACTCTTGTTTTGAGAAACCCCGGTACATCCATACTAGGAAACTAGTTTTAAAAAAACAAACAACTCGGGAGTGACCTTCTTTGGCTCCCACCGAATTCCCTTCTTCCTATTTTCCAGACAAGTCCTGAGATTTCCTTCCAACATCTCCCAGCCAATTGGGTCCATCCCCAAATCCAGGTTCTAAGAGATGGTTGACACAATGAAAAAAAAAAAGTACCTCAAGTGCTTTGAACCCTGTGGATTCATGCGTAATCTGCTTTAATAGATCTGAAAGTCAACGTAGATCATTTCTGCCTCTACGAATGTATAAAACCATGGAGCTTTGGATAACGAAATGTTCATCACCTTCTGGGGTGATAAAACTTTCAGATGATTCCACGGTTGACATACTGCCATAGCACTGACAGAAAACAACAAAAATTTGAGTTTCTCTGTATATTTCCCTTGAAAGTACTCTGCACTCCCTGGGCCCTCGAGCCCTGGGTGGGTGCAGAAGAGACAAGACCTATTTGTGGAGAAGGCCATTTTACACAAAGATCCTTCTGGTGTGTGTCCCATTCCTTACATTTTTGTAAGAAAAGAAAAACAAGAGGAGAAACAGCATATTGATAATTATAGTAATGTGTTTTTAAAATGCTTATAATACCACATATGCTCAAAAGGAATCTCTAAGGGTTTCTGAGAGTTTAGTTGATTAGTTAATCATTGTTTTTTATGAAAATTGTACTCTGGGTAGGGCAAAACAGAGGCCAACATTTGGCAACATAAAAACAACTCTGAACCGTGTGAAAGAGCTGTTGTCATGAAATGTAAACTCTAAATGTATCTATTTCTGTATAATTTTGGTAATAGATGAAAAGAAATTATATATTTAATTATAGAAATGTTCTCTCTCTGATCAATTGCCCCCCTCTCTCTCCTCGCCCCAAATTATTCCCTGGCCTCACTTCTTTGTTCTATCCTGATTGCTCGAAAATGACAGCTTGTCATCCTGCAGCATCTCCTTCCCAAGGATGCCCAGGAATAATCAGGGTGATCACAGTGTCAACGACAAGAATACTCTTGATTGACAAATGGACCCTGTAAGGCTCTCCATGAGTCTAGGATTTATTGCATTGTCTTTCTGGAAGTTCTGACCCATTGAAGAATACAGTAACAACATAGCAAGTGTTTAAACAAAGCTCAGATAAACCAAATTTCAAATTATGCCCCAACCTACATGTTGCAAAAATTTAGAGAAGTGCAGCAATCCTGCAGAATATTTGCTCCCCTTTCAGAAACCAGAGTACTTTGCTCTGTGACCCTAGGTGTGGAAAACCAAGATAAGGCAGGCCAAGGCATTTCCCCTGTTGAGGAGGCCTTTGCTCTGGGATGGGCTGGGCATAGGGCAGAGGATTACCGGTGGGTTACACCAAGTCTTGGGCGGAAACTGCCTGTCACTCAATACCAGGAATGTCCCATCAAGGCTCAAAGACAGAGAGAAAAGAAGAGCAGAAAGGAGAGGAATGGACGATCAGTTCCCAGGGTGGTGTAGGAAAGAGCACAAGCTTTGAGCTAGTGATCCAGGCTCACCTCCCTGTGTAGTGCTGGGTGAGTTCTTAAACGTCCTGGACATGTGTTCTCAAAGGGAAATATAGTCCCAATCATACAGAGCTCCTCTGATGAGTTAATGAAATAACGTGAGGGGAGCAAAGTGCACAGAACCAGGCCTGTGGCAGGCTGTCCAAAAGTCCTCTCTGCCGCTCGCCCCACGCCCTCCAGCCCCGGGAGGGCTCAGAAGAGACAAAATCTATTTGTGAGGAAGGCCATTTTACAAAGCCCCAGGTGGTCGCAGAAAGCTGTTATAGTTTCTGAGACTGCGCGGATTTCCCAGAAGAATGGAAACTGAGTATTTGGATTGCTTCAAAATGGCTTTTGACAGTAATAGAAGGTCTCCACCTGAGCTGTCTTCAGTTTACGTAAGGCTTAGGAGAGGATAAAGTAAAGCAGGATCTAGAGGCTGCAGAGGAGAGTTAGAGACCCTCATTCTTGACAACTCCGAGCACATGTGGCCCTCGTCACACACACACACACACAGTCACACACTCACGTACAGATTCACACATTCATACACACACACATTCACAAACACACACACATTTGCACATACTCACACATCCACACTCATATACACTCACACCCACGCAAAACACTCATGCGCACATTCAAAACACCATCCCCCCCACGCATACATACCCATGCACACTCACACACTCATATAGTCACATGCACACACACTCACTCTACACTCATGTCCCAAAGGGGGATGTGTAAGCTGAAAGTTTAGACCTCAGAACACATATTCTCATGGAAATAATATTATAAATGGTGGC